TGTTAGTTTATTTATTTAATAACTAGAGATACGCCACAACTTCGCAAGGGTGATCTGGATTTCGACAACAGCGCCACCTATCGACTGTAGCTAGAGAAGAATCATCCAGGTGAATCCAGTAATCCATAAAAATTTCATAAAAATTGTCCAAACCGTTTAAGATAGAAAGGCTTACTAGCACACGCACATCGGAATTTTAATTTATATATTAAGTATCGTTAGTTCGTGACACTGGTACAACTTAAAAACAGATTTAAATATACCATCCCCAAAATCCTGTAAAAAGTTGTAGAGCACAAATACATAATATTTTGCCAATTATTACCCATATTGAACAAGTTTCCAAATGGTAACATCGTGATTAATATTTTAATAGCTTTCTTGCGTTCGAAAATCACCCAAGATGCACATTTAATAATTTTATGAGAAAAATATCACGAAAACATTAAATATATTATAGGACATTAATTATTAGCTGTCTTCTTTGAAATTATTTTCAACTAATTAAGAGCAAGCATTGAACGTGGGCTTTGATTGTAGGAAGTAGGAAGGAATTGTAGTAATTACTATATTCAGCAGGTTTATCTATAGCAGTATTATCTAATTTTTTAATAGTATTACGTACCTTTAACACAGTTCTCCAAAGTCGAAAGAGATGGAATGCCCTTATCTAACGGAAGTTATATCTAACCTAATTTGTACATGGTAGACCCATGCTGCAGCTATATTATGGTTTTACACGAATGGGTCGGCTAGACCGGGGAAGGACCACGCTCTCACAAAGTACCAGCGTAAAATAGCAGCGTAATACTGCTGTGTTTCGTATGGTGAGTGTAGAGAACCGGATATATTTACTGGAAACGAGGCATTCCATCTTAGTCCAGGTGACAATGCATCTGCATTTTGATTCGTAATCGAGGAAAGATGTAAATGTCTATGGCCACAGCATCCACTTAGCATTAGGTGGACTGTGTGCTCGTTTGTCACACTTACGTATTCTATAAAAAAAGCCTACGAGATGAAAATAAGGTGATACATTATAATTTTCTTTTTTTAAATATTTGTCTTCTTTTGCAGCAATCCGTTTCTACATGCTTATGTTGGTGGCCAGTTTTTACAAACAGCTGGAAGAAGGGAGCGATGAGACGGAAAAACTTAGAAAGTTAATTAACCCCGAAACTTGGTACAGTTCTGCGTAAATTGCATAACTCTTATGAGTTCTCGTCACTCTAGTGACGTCCATTTATTTAAGTTGCATAAAGGCGATGAATATTTATTTAATATGTATTATTAATATTGATATTAATAAATCGCAAAACTAAAAACGTTTTCAATGTTTATTTTAATATAATTACCTTAATTAGGTTTTTAATTTAATTAGATGGTAGCGAGGTGTTGGCCGATGGGCTAGATGGAATGACGATTTGGTAAAACGTGCAGGACCGTGCTTTGTGGCATTAATTGGGGTACGCCTAAGTTCAGCAGTGGACTTGAGAAGGGCTGTAATGATGATGACGATGATAATCGAATCCCACACGGAACAAGGTTTTACATGGCCTACAAATAATTGTTCCGGGTTTTGATGTTTGCCCTCGTGAAATTTATGTATATAAACTACCCTCCACGGTACCGGAGAAAATCCTAGCGTGGAGGTAACGTTTTTAAATAGAGTAAGATCAATTATATGCCTACTGGGCATAGACTTTCCCTAAGGCGCGGTCATATCTTTGGCTCCACCTATCCAGTTGTTGACTCGTGCAGAGATCACTCGATCTTGGGGCATCCCATGTTACATTTTCATAAAAGTGATACCAACTCTACCAATAAGTTTACTCCAACGGATATTTGACACAGTGTGATCAACCCTTAGCCAAATTTAGCTTGCATACACGGGAGTCATGTCGGTAAACTGCAACCTTGGTTTTTCGGTGGATTTCTACATCAGACAATGGCAGTTTAGTGGCACAGTAGTACACATATATAGTATACAATATATTTGTATGAAATACAAATAATTGGTCAAGATGTTAGGAATATGCAATTTGAGTATGTAAAACGTCTCAATAACACAGAAGAAATTTATAGTAACATTACTGTTTCCTAAAAGAACAAAAACTGTAAAAATAACTTATTCTATCGCTGGCTGAGCGAATTTGAGTCAGTGCTCTTGGAGTTGGGGTATACCGTAGGTGACAGACAGGATACACTAATTGAAGACTCATCTAGGGGCTATTTAATATACAGGATACACTGCTTGATGACTTATCAAGGGACTATTTGAAAATAACTAAAATGATGTAAAAATGTCGTTTACATTATATATTAAATTGTATTTTTACATATAACATTTCACAGTTTAAATAAAATAACCAGTTTATGTTCAAGGCACAAAGTTTACTCCGTACATCTAAACTCTTTGACCGCTTACCGTAATTAGCAAAGTACATATTTTTTTGTTATCAGGTAATTCTAAATGTGAATAATGACAATAACTCATTTTGTTTAATTATAGTAAGAAATACAGAATTTTTATTTGGTATAACAGACTTAAAATATTTATAAACTTTAAAATTATAGATAACACAATATTTACAGTCCCTTAAGGTTATTTGTTTAAAGTAAAATGTATTTTAACAATAATCGTTTATAATATAACCAATAATATTTTAACGGGTAATTTTAACGGGTAACTCTTTATAATTGCTATGAATGAAAATATACAACTGAAATTGTAGGTGCCATAAAATATATTTAATATATTTTATTCAATTTTTCAATTCAATCAAACATTGTAGTAGCGTCATTCATATTTTTTCTTAGTAAACGTGCGACAAACGAGCACCGAATCCACCTGGTGGGTGGTAAGTGGATACAGTGACCCATAGACATCGTTGTCGCTCCTGAAGGCAAAAATAGAATGCCTTCGTTTCAATGAAAAGGTTTCATAACTTGTAATCTAAGTTTATCTGAGTTAATTTTCTTTTTATAAAACGTTACCCCCACACTAAGATTTTCTTCTGTATGATGAAGGAAGTTTACAAACATAAATTTCACAAGGGCAAACATCCAGACCTGGAACAATTATTTGTAGGCCATACAAATACTTTTACCTTGCGGGATATGAACCCACGGCCCCCAGGGCAGCTACTTATTGCTTAGCCACTGTGCCATCAGCACAGTATCGAAGTCCACTGCTAAACATAGGCCTCTACTATAGATTCTTAGTGAGGATATTTGACCACCGTTGCCACGCTTAGCAGGGTTGACACCCGCAGTTTTTACTTTCTAGTTGTCATTATGAAGACTCAGTTGCCAGTTTCTTGGTTTGTTATTCCCTCTGTATCATTTTACAACATCTAAGTGATGATATGGGGTATTGGATATTATTACATCGACACTAAACGGTAAGTACTAAGAACTACCCATGATTTTATTAGGTCAAGTTCAGGTTTTTTTATTTTATAGTATAGTTCGAATATTTTTTATCTTATAGTTTTAATCCACAACATCCGATAAATTATACCTTATTAAAATACGAATACAATAAAATTTCACTTTATAAATTAATTTAATCAGGTTGTGTGCATATCAACTATTTTCTCTCAGTATTTAAACTCTTCACTGGCAACACTTCACTGCCAGTGATGACATATGAATCTGAGACGTCGTCCTTCACTGCTGGCCGTATGAGGACGCTCTAGGTCAATCAAAAAATCAAAACGAGCTATGGAGAGGGCTATGTTCGGGGTTTCTCTGCGTTATGAACTTAGAAATGAGGATATCCGCAGTAGAACCAGAGTGTACGTCATAGCCGAACGGATTAGTAAGCTGAAGTGGCAATTGAAAGGCCATATAGCTCGGTGAACCGACAAACGATGGGGAAAAAAGATTCTTGCCTGGCAGCTTCGTATCGGTAGGCACCCCCATTAGATGGAGTGACGACCGGGTAAGACATGCAAAAAGTCGATTGATGCAGGTTGCTAAGACCGTGCTTTGTGGCATTCCCATGTACAGCAGACAGCAGTAGACTTGTAAAGGGCTGTAGTGTTGATGATGATGATTTAAACTCTTCAAAGTCTTTTTATACAGAACTACTGGGGAAAAAACCTCACAAGTTCAATAGTTGAGCTAATCAGTTTAACTAGCTGTCACTAGACCACCAAGCGTGCTGAGTTGCATGTTGCCTGTGATAATAATAGGCCTGTGTTCAGCATTAAACTTGTGAAGGATTGTAATGAAGGTGATGATAGTGATGATTGCTTGTTTCTGACGAGTCCTTGGTAAAGACTGTGTAAGTTGAGTGTGTAAATAACGTGGTATTAATTAAGGAAGAGGCATTGGATTTAGAACGCTTATTATTAAACATTATTATAATCAAAGATTGTGCAAATGTGCTGTACCTTTTCATGAAATTAATAAATAAAGACTGTTGATTTATGTATATGTGCTACGTACAATCTAGATTCTAGACTATTCTGTTCATTCAATAATATTTCTATCCTTAAATGGGTATTAAGTTCTACAAATTACTGTATTTGTTGTCTAACACATGCCTTTGTTTTATTTTTTATATTATTTTAAAGTACAATTTTAACCAATGACGCGTAAATTTAAATATTTTTTTAAATAATATCGTTGTAGGCATTACATCTGTACATTATAAACGTTGTAACTCTCCAGTGCTTATATTTTAGTTAGTACTTAGTATAAGTCTACAATTGTGTTGTTTAGACGGGATCTCTTTCTCGTGTGTACTTGACCGTACCGTCTCTTTCCATTTTCACGATTGAACTCCAAATGAGTATCACCAGGTAAATTTGTAACACTGAAATTAAAAGAAAATTATAATATTTTATTAAATATCTTTGATGAAATGTATAAGGATGGCAAAAGAGCACACAGTCCACCTAATGGTAAGTGGTTGCTGTGGCACATAGTCATCTACATCTATCCTTGTTTGCGAATCAAAATGCAGATGCGTTGTCAGCCTTGAGGACTAAGATGGAATGCCTCGTTTCCAGTAAAAAGGGTCTCCGGTTTTGTACACTCACCAAACGAAACACAGTAGCGTTAAGCTGCTATTCGACGCCGGTATTGTGTGAAAGCGTGGTCCTACACCGGTTGAGCCGACCCATTCGTGCTAGAACTATACCATTAATATAGCTGCAGCATGGCTCTACCACGTAAAAGTCAAAATAAAAAAAAATTGAAATAATATTTTTTCTACATTGTAATTTTTCTTTTTGTGTTAGTTATTTAAATTATATTACATAGTAATTTGTTATTATTTCTTGAAAAGACACGAGCTACGACGAGATGGAAAAGTTGGCACACAGCATATATATAGCTTAGCACGATATTAGTAAGTCTAGCCAACACAGTGTGGGAAGTGTTTTACAAAATAAAATAATAATTGTGCTAACATTCCACCTTACATCCTTACGTGGTAGAGCTATGCTGCAGCTGTATTGTGGTTACAGCACGGATGGGTCGGTTCGACCGGGGTTATTATGGTTGGCTCGAGGACCACGCTCTCACAGAATACCAGCGTAAAGTAGCAGCTCAACGCTGCCGTGTTTCGTATGGTGAGTGTAGAGAACCGGAGAACCTTTTTACTGGAAACGAGGCATTCCGTATTAGTCCTCAGGGCTGGCAACGCATCTGCATTTTGATTCTTAATTGAAGATAAATCTAGATTTCTATGGGCCACAGCATCCACTTATCAGGTAGACAGTGTGCCCGTTTGTCACCCTTATTCTATAAAAACTACCATGGACACGACCAACCAACTTCAAATAAAACAGACCACAAACGCGTTGCCGTCCCTAATATTGAGATTAAATATAGCAGGTACTAATTTAGATGCACTCCCCGGCAGAGAAGAAACCCTACCAAGCAATACACTTCAATGTTAAAATAGGTCTAAATTTCGGTCACGGCGGCTAGTCAAAACGAAGACTTGCCATCTGCGCTGGACACAATTATGGTGCTTGAGTATGTGCGCAAACACCGCTTGCACTATTTATTCCCTGAATCTAAAACTGCCAACGTCAGATTCCCGACAGAGTCTAATGGGTCGGCAATCTGAAATGATTGACGGGAGACATCAAGCGCAGGACCATCATGCTTCCAGGACGCAGGGATGAAACACCGACTACTTCCTGACTCAGAGCGGCTAATGAGAATTTCTTAGACAGAAAAACTCATTAACTGATTATGGCCGACCCGAGATTTGAACCGGAATCTCATGGACAGTAGTCACGCTTAGGACCGTCGAAGCAGTCATTTGTGTATTTATACAATACATAAAATCAGAGTCAACTTTTATAATATAAGATGGGGCGATGCAATCTCTCAAGCAATGACCTTACGATAAAAAGTTATCGATATTAAAAACAAGGATTAAAAAGCATATATGTCTAAAAATGCTTACTTAGTTGGAAGAGTATCAGGAACAGCTCACTGGCAGTCTCGCTGGTCAAGAAGGCAAGGCTGTACACAAATCCGATGATGGAGAATACAATCTCGAAGTAGAGGTATATTTTCATCAGCAATACGTGTTTCTGAAAATAAATGTCAATGGAAGTTTAATACTAAATAATGTGACAATATGTTTGAACGAAATTAATGTAAAATATTAGTTAATATTTTATTATTGATAAAGCAACACGAAAAACGGACTAGAGTAAAAATGGGTAAAAAAATTGAGTGTAATTTTAACCTCAATTTTATTCGATTGTATGGTTTTTGTTTGTAATCATACGTGATAGTAAAACAAGTACGATGATTCTTTTTTAATAAATAGGTATGATTTCCTTCGTCAAGGCTTAAGGGTGACAAACGACCTCATAGTCCACCTGATGGTAAGTAGATATTGTGGCCCATAGTCGTCTACATTTATTCTTCAATAAAAAATCAAAATGCAGATTCTGTGTCACTCCCGAGGACTTAGATGGAATGCTTCATTTCCAGTAAAAAGTGTCTATAGTTCTCTACAACATTAAGCCACTATTTTACACTGGTATCCTGTGAGAGCGTGGTTCTACCCGGTCGAGCCGACCCATTCGTGCTACAACCACAATAGCTGCAGCATGCCTCTAGCACAGCTGGCAAAATAAGAGATAAAGTTTTTAACGGAAATATCTAGACGACTCCACTACTACTATGACTATACTCAAAAGTGTTTTATTAACTTAATAAAAATTAAAAGCCAACTTCAGACAAATAAAAAGAATTAAATTATTTCACATTCTGAAGTCGGAGTTTCAATTCTTCTACGTAATATCATGTTTCAGGTCTAACTTCAGAATTTACATAGCATTGAAATACAATATGAAAAACTTATTAAAAAAAAACAAGAACCCACCCTCTTATCACTAGCAGCGACGACTAGTCGCAGACACAGTTCCTTTAGGAACGTCACCCCATTTGATCGATAATCTCTAGAGCAAAAGGCACAAATATGCAGTCATCTCTCAGAGACTCATATTTGCGCCATTTACTTAGTTCAGTTGCCTTTGATCTCACCCCGCCTGTAAACGAGTTACCACCCCGTGATGAAAGGCTGTCAAAATGTTTACGCAAGTAGCATCCCACATTTGGGCTATACCCACAGAAATAGTAATAATTACGATTTCTGTGGCTATACCTCTCTCCCAAAGGACCAAAGTCATACCGTCACGTCTCCTGCCATCGTCCCTAAATATTCTACAAGGCTCTAAAACCAAGGGAACATATATAGAGACGAGAGCTCTTATTATGACATCGTTCAAAGAAAGAAACAAAAATGATACTCATCGTAAATATTGCAATACAGAAAAAAATATTTATTTAAATATACATGTTTTACTTACGTTATTCCCATAATCAAGTAGGCTTGGAAAGACAATGAAAACTTTATAAAGATTTAATAAGTAATAGGCTAATATATTTAACAAATAGCTGTTGTAACCGTGTAGTGGCGGTGTAAGAATATGCACTACTCCATATCATCTCGTGGGTGTCGTAAGAGGAGATAGAGAGAAACGGATCAGGAGATGGGCTGTAGCGTCTTCCTAATGACATTGCAGCGACTTATAATAAAAAGCAAGCCATGGACTTTCGACAGGTTGTAATGGTAAGGAACATCTACCTGTAAAAGCTATGCCCTTCAATGGGCACACGGTCGGATCCGACCAAGGCGATGTTCCGTCAAATCAATCGTCAAGTCATAATATTGCTGTGCCCATCAGAGTCTATAGAGACACCATAAAACTATGTAACACCTTTTGTAACCTATGGAATGCAATAAAGTTATTGAGTATTGAGTATCCCAAGCGGTCGGATCCGATCGCACCCACCCACAGCAATATAATCTATAAATGCTTATATTTAAAGGCTACTTTTCTATGAACAAGCGAAACGTGCTAGCGTTGTCAACGTTTTAGCTGAGGATTGAGGGGTTGTATTATTACAACGGATTAAAGTCCACTGCTGAACATGGTCTAAGTTATTTTTGTCCCGCTCCTCCATAAAATGCTTTATAAGGGGGATATTTGCCAGGGTTGGCAACCGCAGTTGTTTGTCCAGCTAATATCAGGAAAATGCTGCTGCCCTTCTCCTGTTTTAGTTTCCCTCTGTCGCTTCTTAACACATGCACGGGACGATAAGGTGTCGTGGATTTCGTCGTGGTCTTATTGATTCTATTTTATAACAATAACCCGAGAAACGAGCTGGAAGTCACCTGATGGTTAGTGGCTACACATTGACCATCGGGGTATAACTATAAATAACATAACGCACTAATTTTATTTGCCTCGATGCCATTGGAAATAAAAATATAAATCGGCTGACTATAATATTATAAAATCCAATAATAACAATGTCATTGAAATTACATTTACATTTACCAGAATAGAATAAAATATTTTTATTTGCTTTCAACGAATTGGCGGCATGAAAATATTATGGTATTAACCAGTAACACAATGTACATATTCAATGTATGTATTTACTTTCATATAATGTTATGACGTAAAACAACTCATTAATAATTAATCACAATAATTATATGTATATTATACTTCCACGGCTTCGTGGCGCAGTAGCACTGAGTTGCAGAAGGTCTTTTTAATAGAAGAGGGGGCAAAGGAGCATGCGGCTTACCTGATGGTAAGTGACTACCATCGCCCATGAACAACTGCAACACCAGGGGAATTGCAGATGCGTTACCGGCTTTTTTTAAAGGAGTATGTATTTTTTTAAAGTCCCTACGTCGTATCGGTCCGGAAAAATCTCTGATTGTAGTTGACTCCACAAGGAAGTTGTGCGAGGCAGTAAACTTCTTTTAAATCGCACAGTGGTGGATCGTCAGTCATCCTGATGGTATGGATGGTATCGCGATTTTGTCGTGATGTGCGATGGTGAAATTGTCAGGTTGGAATTAGTCCAAACAATTCCTCAGAGCACTCCCCGTGGTAAATGCGATAAAATACGCAAAGAGATGCAATTTCTCCTCGCAGTGTCAGTGAGTCCAGCCGATCGGAAACAACTCGGTCGTCGACGATTCGAACGGCTCTGCGCTGGATGCGACCAAAAAGAAGAAGCTGACACTGGGGAGCCCCAGCCCAGAGATAGGAACAGTATAGTTATTGATGTGAGGCTGAACCTGCGTCTTGTAAAATGCAGGTGGTGTGCCAGCATGAAATACTGTCCCGCTTTGCTGAGCACGCCAACGTTTTTAGAGGCCAATTTGGCCTTCTCTTCCAAGTGATGACGAAACAGCACCTCACTCGATATGTCGACGCCGAGGATTCCAAAACTGCCTGAGGCAAGAAGGGGAGTGCCTTGAAACTAAGGAGATACGATGAAGGAGTTCCTTTTAGCAGTAAACTCACAAACTTGTGTTGAGACTTTGTTCAACAAAGTCTAGACTTCAGTCACAAGTTTGTCCTGGTACTCGGTGACGTTTTACGGAGAAATATTGTCACGACAGGTGTATAAAGCATCACCAGTGCTGTTGTACGCATAGTAGTGAATGTTTTCGGTTTGCTACGTATAATTGATATGCAGAAGAAACAGCGTGATAGCACGCACCCTTGTGGAACATCAGCGTTAATAGGCTTGTAACCGGAGCATGCACCGTCTACTACGTCCTTGATGCTCCGCTCTGCAAGAAAACTAGTGACCAATTTGCACAATTTCTCGGAAAGTCCATAGGAAGGAAGCTTCATAAGAAGCACTTTGTGCCAAACCCGATCGAAGGCCTTCGCTATGTCCAAACTAACGGCCAACGCCTCCCCCTCGGACTTTACTGCCTCCGCCCATCTATGAGTTAGATAACCCAGAAGATTACCAGCGACCATACTGGTGGCCACTAATCAGTTGGTGATCCTGAAGGTACCCCTTGAGCTGGCAGTTAATAATTGTTTCCATTACAAGGAGGTGATAGCGAAAGGCCTTTACAAGTCGCGGCACGTAAGTTTAGCGCTGGACGTAACGAGGAGCGGACGCGCACGAAATTAATTGACACCATCAGGCCCACTCGACTTATTGACGTCCAGGAAGAATAGTGCTCTTCGCACCGAGCATTGGGTAAACAGCACATCCTGCATGGAACACTCACACCGCGGGATGGTCGGCGGTGTATTCCCCCGTCAACAAGAGTCGAGTTGGATGCAAAGAGAGAGCCCAGCAGATCAGCTTTGTTCTTTGCGACACGGGCCAGTGTTTGTCCTCCCTGTGCAGAGATGGCAGAGAAGTCTGGGGTTGGAATACCGCATGGAACATATATTACGCTTGTGTAAATGTGCAATTTACGTATGTAAACTACCTCCACCTTATAGGATAAGATCCTAATGGGGGGTAACGTTTTTTTAACTCCCCGCTTTGAAACTTAATATTTTTTAAAGTAGGCAGTTATATTTTTCGGTCCGATTATGAGAATTTGAGTTCTCATCTGATCTTTACGTTTTTATGTCCTAGGAAGCTGATCCGACCCGATCCGACACGCGCGAAATAAACTGCAGTTGCCAACCCACTTGTCAAGCATGGTAATTATTTTCCCTATGAGGCAATCTTTGGCGGAGACCTATAATTAACAGTTGACTTGTATAGGCTGTGCCGGTAACGTTAACATGTCATTACATCAAACCTTTATCTACTGTCATTCAATTCATTCAATTTTGTTAGGTACGAAAAGTGTCGCTGGCAATTAGCATCGATTTTCTAAATAGATTTCTTTTATTCAGTATTAGTCTCCACAGATTCGCCTCAATTTTTTCAATATGATTAGCTGATGCCATAGACAAAATACAGAAAAATATTTAAAAACATTTTGTTTTTACTATAGTAAAAGCGTTAGCTTTTGTTTTTCAGTTTAAAAAATATATTTTATTATTTTCTCATTTTATTACCTACATATATAAAACTGTTACGAATGATATTAAGCACCCAATTTTATACATTTCCTCTCTTGGGATGTTTATGTAAACCATTATATTACAACTATGATAATTTCTTCTAAGTGCTTGTAGGATTATCAGTCTTATTGTCTTTTTCTTTTAACTTTATGTACCGTATATTTTACATATACATAACCACATAAACATCGATATATATAAACACTCACTCAGAAGGGTAGGCAGAGACTACAGACTTCCATTTAGCACGATCCTGTCATACCTCTCTCGCCTCTTCCACATCCATATACCTACGCATACATGCTAGTCGGTTAAGAGTACTCTTAATTTGGCCCATTTTTAATATATCGCCAATTTGGTCGACAAACTTTCGCCCTCTTCCATTCACTTCTGCAACATATATTTGCTTTGTCAGTCTTTCCTCATTCATTCTTTCTACATGACCAAACTACCGAAGCATTCCTTTCTTAATCCCGGTCACCACATCTACTGCGAACCACACTCTTCCTTTATCACACAGTTTCTCACTCAGATTCAGCCCTAACATACTCCTTAGCGACCGCATTTCTACTGCATTTATTCTACTCTCGTGCTTCTTCTGCCACACCCAACTTTCACTACCATACGTAATAATTTTATATACAAAAACTTTGTTTATTATACACTGTGTTACTTTTAAGTTTTCCCGGGAATATTTACGAATGAACTTTGACTCCTTAAGAATATAAATCCAAAAAGTCACCAAGAGTTTTCTAAACAATAGCATAGAAATCGAAAAATTTTGCATCAGTTGTTACTCGAACACGTTTCTTTTGTACTTTAAAAGTTTGATTAATATATGATGAATTTCCCCATTTTATGATTACCGTGTAATGACGGTGTAAGAATATTCACCACCACGTATCGTCTCATGGGTGTCTTAAGAGGCGCAATGGGTGACAAATCAGGAAATAATCAGTAGCGTCTTCCTGATTACAGCTTAATACTGTAATATAGGATGTGTGTTTGTCAACATACCTGCCCAGCGTGGCAATGATAGCAAATATCTCCCCCCCCCCTGAGTTCAATCGAGGCCTACGTTCGGCAGAGGCCTTTTGATAGTCTCTAATAATGTTGATGAATGATGATCATTGATGATACATAAGTTAAAACAAATAATACAAACTTTTGTACTAACCTTATGCAATGCGACTATGAAAGTAATAGACATGGCGACTTCTAGCACCAGCGCCGTAGTATCCGCTATAAGGCGGGGAAACTCTGACACGTTCGTTATCTCCATATTTCGGATGTAAGAAATATACATGGAGAGCAGTGCAGTCACCACGATGGTTAAAATCTGAAATGAAAGAACGATATATTTATTTTCTCTATCCATATATCAATCCCAACTAACTAGTCCACCGCTGGACATGATCAGGTCGCGTGTTAACCTGAATTGTAACTTTTTAAAGATGTTGATTAAAACTACTTTTACGGATTTTATCGCGTTTAATTTTAATTTTAATTTTACTTATTTTTAATTCCCGACGTTTCTCTTCATTTTTAGAGATGTGTTTTTTTTATAAATGTCACAACCTGCTGGTATTATATAAAATAGTAAACGGAAGTACTGTCTCCTGTTAACTAACTACTACAATATTTCTCCTTAAATGTACCATAAAATATCCTTCGTCGTCTAATAACAAGACTTTTATAAACGGCAAACGAGCACACAACCCACCCAGTGATTATAAGTGGATCCCAAAAGTCCCATAGACGCCTAATCTATCCTCGTTTAGTCTTCGAATGCAGATGCATCACCATTGTACCTAAGGGAACAATTCGATCCGTATCAGTTACGATATGAAACACAGTACCATTACGCTGCTATTTATGCTAGTCTTACGGCCACTTCTTGGTAAATAAATGCATGACTTGAAATGTACTGAACCTAAGTTTCCGCTGTAACCTGCATTTCGTGCAACCGACTATTTGTCAGATGAGGATCCGACGTCCCGCTAGAAGCGGTATACAATCTGGTGATCAGAAGCAAAATTACTAAAACGTCACGGCTCTACGTTTGCCAGCCTGCTCCTCCAGATTAGTATGAGCAAACAAACAAGCAAGCAAATAGAATTGTCTGTTAATAAGTAAAATAGTTAGCGTCGGAGAGTCAAGTGGAAGCTATATTATGGTTGGAGCACGAACGTCTGCTGAGTTTTTTATTGTGAGAGTTTAGAACCGGTGACCCTTATTGCTGGAAACGAAGCATTTTTTTTTAGGGTTCCGTAGTCAACTAGGAACCCTTATAGTTTCGCCATGTCTGTCTGTCCGTCTGTCCGTCCTCGCTTAATCTCTGTGACCGTTAGCACTAGAAAGCTGAAATTTGGTACCAATATGTGTATCAATCACGCCGACAAAGTGGTAAAATAAAAATTGGAAAAAAATGTTTTATTAGGGTAGCCCCCCTATATGTAAAGTAGGAAATGATTTTTTTTTTAATTTCAACCCTAACGTGTGATATATTGTTAGAAAGGTATTTAAAAATGAATAGGGGTTTACTAAAATCATTTTTTGATAATGTCAATAATTTCGGAAATAATCGCTCCAAAAGTAAAAAACAATGTGCCCCCCCCCTCTAACTTTTGAACCATAAGTTTAGAAAATATGAAAGAAATCTGAAAAGTAGAACTTTATAAGGACTTTCTAGGAAAATCATTTTGAACTTGGACGGAAACAACAGTGTCCACTACCGGGAGCAGTTGCAGGGGCGCGGAGCGCTGCTGGAGCGCGAACATAATGGATACCCACCTTTAAACTCATAAGTGGGAACACTTATTGTGACGGACGGGAAACTACGGAACTCACTGAGCGTGGCCCGACACGCTCTTGGCCGGTTTTATTTATTCCTTAGGGTTGACAACGCATTTATATTTTGATTCTTACGGGCCACATCTTCCGATATAATATATATATATATATATACGTATATATCACAGATCACGAGCGTTGGAAACGAGGTATTTCATCTTAGACCTCAGAAATGGCAACGAATCTGCATTCCGATTCTTAATCGAGGAAAGACGTTTATGGGTTGCAGCATCCACTTACCACCAAGTGGACTGTTGCCATATATCGATTTCAATGACGGCGACCCTAGGAACTATGGATATACCTATCATGTGCTCTGATATGTCTCGCTAGACCAGACTTGGTCTAAAATACCTTTTGGCATGCATGATAATAAAGATGGTCAAACGTGTTCTGAAAACGCCCTTATAGCGCAGACGCTGACGCCCGTGCCATTCAGGTGAACTGTGTGCTAGTTTGTCACCCTTATTACAAAAAAAGTAAAAGTTGTAATCGTGTTCTATTATGCAATTTGTACTTTTTTAGTGTGGATAAAAGTTGTTAATTGGTAAGTCATTCGTCTCATTCAATTCTTTCAATTAGTTGCATAGTAGTGCTGTAAATTAGAAAGTGTTGCTTTTTATTGTTAGGTAAATGTCAAAAGGTTTGAAAGTGTGATGTCTTGTTTAACAATAAAATTTTATTTAGTAACTTTTTGTTTTTTGTAGTAGATTTAAAATGACTTAAGCGCTCCTATACACTAGCGGTTAACCGCGGGGCGGCTAACCGCGCGGTTAGCCGCTTTTCCAGTTTAATATGCGACCGCTTGTGATCGTACGCGTTTCGAGTTTGAGTTGTACAGTCAGGAACTTGGATACAGTAAAATTCATTGTTGAAATTCAACAACGAGAAGGTATTTGTAATTTTAAAGTAGCATAAGAATAGAGATTTAAAAGTTTTTTTTAGCGATAGCGATTTGAGCGATATAACCACTTATCGCGGTTTCGTCGCGATTTCACCGCGGCTAGCCGCCACATCGGTCAACCACTATTACATCCGCGTCAGGTGGCTGGCCGCTCTAAGGAACCGCCTAGGCGGCCAACCGCTAGTGCGTAAGGGGGCTAAGTGACATGATTTCTAAAATTAGGGTTATTTGAAATTCTTAATAAATCAAAAATCAAAATCGAAGCATTACTTATTGCATTCCGTCCCATCGGACTTTGATAGTGAGGGAACAGAGTGCACATGTGCTTGCGCATACACTCGGGAACTTTAACATTATCCTACGCTGATCTCCGTTCAGATAGCTGGTTTCCCTTGAGACTGCTACAGTGACTGAAATTCAGTCTGAAGGACATTACTATGATTAATTATTATTGTTATTATAAATTAAAACTAAACAGTCATTCTTCTTCTTCAGTACTGTCGACCCGTTAAAGTCTATAGCTAGACACTGGCCTATCCCGTTCTAGGGAGGATTTGACTTAATCGTCACGATCGCACGCGTTTTTTGTTTATAAATAAAAATGTAGGCACGTAGATATAGTAGTAAAAAGTAAAGTTACAGCCTATATACGTCCTTCTGCTGGGCACAGGCCTCCCCTCATTTCTGAGGTTTTAGGGCAAGGAATTGTCCGTCGCGCTGCCCCAATACGTGTTGGCGAACTTCACATGTCTTCAAAATATATTTTTTCTCTTATTCTTCAGATATGCAGGTTGTCCTCACGATGTTTTCCTTCACAGCCGAGCACGTGGTAAATCAGCACTTAAAATTGCAATTAACAATTTCATTGGTGCCGGCAGTTATCGAACCCGATTTGCTCATGTACTGTGAAATTTACATTTACAGCGAGAGCTATCTGAGCTACAACGTTTCCATTTAATTTTCAATTATTTAATTTTATTTATAGTCTTTAAAGTCTTCAGCGCTTGCCTCAAATTTCATAGCATTCGAGAAATCCGAGTGCGATTTCCGGTGGCACGACTGAAATTATTAATCGCAATTTTAAGAAATGATAGGGTAATGAAACGGTATAAACCGATTTCGTATTTGTACTCTGTCTTTTTTTCTCCATCAACGGATACTAGCTATCGAATGGTAATATGATCACAACATTTTTTGCTATAAGTATAGAACAGGATTATATACGTAGTGCACACTTGTTATACAACTGGAAGACGACATTTGTCATTTCAGTTTTATATAAAAAAGCACAGGTGATCCCTGTATTTCTTTCCTCTCTTAGATCTCTAATGGAAAGGCAATCCGACACGACTTAAGAGAGATCAGAGTGCCTTCTTTGGAACGGGTGTGAAATGCCGCCCACTTCAATTGGATCTTTGTCTTTGTGCAATTTATGTATGTTACTTATCTCAATTTATGTATGTTACTTATCTCAATTTATGTATGTTACTTATCTCAATTTATGTATGTTACTTATCTCAATTTATGTATGTTACTTATCTCAATTTATGTATGTTACTTATCTCAATTTATGTATGTTACTTATCTCAATTTATGTATGTTACTTATCTCAATTTATGTATGTTACTTATCTCATTAAATGATGAGTGATTTTCTTTTAATAAAATTTTTAAAATATACAGCTTTCCTCACATTGTGTTCCTTTGACGCTAAGCACGTGTTTATCCAACACTTAAGAATGCACTTAATTTCATCTCAACCCTTTTTTATTAGTCTTTAAAAATATTAAGGCAAGCACTTATCAACGGTCGCTGAAGACTGATGAAATGATAACATAATTTGCTTTTTCTTATCAGCCTAAGTGTCGCGAACTATACGACTATAGGACTAGGGCTATAGGACAGCTCTCGTCCTCTTTTCCGTAAAGATAATCAGTTCGTCCATTAACATTTTATGTATATTATATTGTTTATCCAGCGAACCGCTCTGACTTCGCCTAGATTAGACCTATTAATATGTACCGACATGCGGCGCGAGTGGGTATTTGCAAAACTGCTATCTGTTTCACATCGTTCGCTCCGTATCGGCGACGTGCGATAGAGAGAGAGAGAGTTGCAAGTATTGGAAGTAACGGCCTTCATTTTCTTTTTAAAATATTGTTTCGAGCGATAACGTTTTTACCCCACTGAACCTTAACGAAATGAGACAATTTTGGTCTAATTAGATTCAGTATACCTTAATTTAGATCTGTACGTTCCTGTTTTTAGTAATTCAGTTTAGTTTAATTAAAAAAATAAAACGCTAGAGGAAGTTTGTAAGTCAAAAATATAGATATTTAGATGCTAATTACTTATATCGTACGTAATAAATAAAATCAGGCCTAGTTTTTCATTACATCTACAAGATTTCCTTGCCTTTTGTATGAAAATTTACAGATTGACAATCCTCTTAAGTAAGGTTTAAGATAGTCAAAAACAATTTTATATTATCAATTTTTAAATAATTTTTTTTTTCAAAAACAAGACAATGTTTAAAAGCGGTTGTTTATGTTTCAGTAATATACCAATAACTCCCCGAGTTATTTCAATATTAAATTGAGACACTTAAATTGTATTTATATGTATAGATTATAATTAGCAGAGATAACATCTTTATCGCAATTGCAGTAATTGAAGACAGCAACAGCTAGGACGCGTAATAAAATATTTCCTCAGTTTCAAATTACACGTTGATAATTTATTCATTGTAATGCGACTTACAAAGCAATTTGTGTGAAGTATACTGGTTAGGGACGTTTTTTTGCATTTGTCCATTATATTATACTGAGTTCGAACATTTAACATCATTAAAAAAAAATCAAATTTAAGTCAGCGTGTACACAGGATTTCGGTGATAGTGTCTTGGTTAGTCCGCCGTGCCATAAAATCTAATAAAATCTGCAAAACTAGTTTTATTCGAAATCTAATTGATATGAATTTAAAAAGATGATGATTCTAAAACACACATTCAGTGGGTGCGTTCGGCAGAAAAAAGCGCTAGCAAGCGCTTGTAAGCAAAATGGCGATCGTAAGCGGTAAGCGCTGTCAAATCGTAAGTAGCTATTTTCCTCCAGGACACGATGTTAGTTTTAACCGGGGAATCTAACCTAATTTAAATATATGTTTGTAAAGTATTCATATTAAAACTTACCAATCATGAGTTTTTAATAGCATGTATATGTTTATTCATGTCATTATATTACTTAAAACTAATATTGCACAAAACAACTTATAAACTCTACTTCAAAACAAACAAATTAAATAAGCAAAATGGCGGATTGTGTCAGCGCTACTGAAGTAGCAATCGTGTCCTGGCCGAAAACTATTTTAGCGCTTATAAGCGCTTGCTAGCGCTTTTTTCTGCCAAACGCACCCAGTGTTATGACTTTTCTTTGCCCTTTCTTTTTTTTAAATTTCGTTCCTTTACCCATGTCGTAAAGATATGCTGAAGCAATATTATGGCTGTAGCACAACTTGGTCGGTTCGTCCGGGAAAGGACCACGCTATCATAGAACACCAGTATAAAATAACAGCTTAATACTGCTGTATTTCGTTTGGTGAGAGTAGAAAACCGGAGCGTTTTTAACTGGGAACTCCACCTGTCTTCATGTGTGACAACGCATCTGCATTTTGATTGTTTATTAAGGATAAAAGATGTCTATGGGACACAGCAGTTTTTTGAGTTTGTCACTTTTATTTCCTTAAGAATTATAATTGGCGACTGCAGCACCTGTAACTAACTTCTAAAGTGTAAGATTACGATATAATATCTCACAGAATAAACGAAAAATCGGGCATCCCTACTCTAAATACCCTTCAGAGTGGGACAAAGCAACAGTGCAAGTACTATTTGGCGGCCTACAGATGCTTAATAGTAAATACGTGGTTTTATGTTGTAATATTTTGTACACGTTTTTCTCGAAAGGTATATATTATAGGTATATATTACTATATATTGTTTATCTGCAGTCGTGAAACTCATATGCTAAAAGTATCGTGATATGTACGATTATAGCCACTGTAAAGTTTTGTGTAACTCAATGACTGTAAAGATAAAAACGATTATTAACCGTCACGCTGAAACTACTAGACTACTTGTCTATTTTAGAGTGTCACTACAGCTACATTGAACGATCGTCGATCGATGCCCTTGATCGACGTCGATCGATGCAGCAGCTGCTGCAATATTATGGTTGTAGCACAAATTGGTCGGTTCGATCTGGGCAGGACCATGTTTTCACAAAACACCAGCATAAAATAACAGCTTATTTCGTTTGGTGAGAGTAGAAAACCGGAGACCTTTTTTAACTGGGAACTCCACATGTCCTTAGGTGTTACAACGCATCTGCATTTTGATTCTTGATCGAGGATAAATGAAGATGTCTATGGGCCACAGCATCCACTTAACATCAGATAGATTATGTGCTCATTTGTTACTTTTATCTATTTAAAAAAAGCCCGTAAAGTTCAATTCTGAATCTTTCTGGTTCTAGACGCACACATAAACACCTAAAACCATATTGTTAGTTACAAATAATTTTAGACACGTATATACGTGAGTTTTTATAAGAAGTTGAGAATGGTTTTTTTTCTTGGTTTTTGTGTCACTTTAAAGTGTACGTACCGTCCCGCCCTTCTTTCTTGGTCGATCTGGAGTGGCTTGGTTGGTCTAATAATTTGTAAACTATTTAAAAATTTCAACTTACCAGGTTGGCATAAGCAAAGACGATAAGCCCCTTTCTGAGCGGGAAGCAGAAGCAGCATCTTGTTAATATGGGTATCTCCACGGAGTTGCATATTTTTTGTCTGCAAATTAAAAAATAGAGTTAGGTTTAACGCGTTACAGATGAGTCTGCAGTTTACTTGAGTCGATTAGACCGTAGAAGGATTACACTTTCACGTAAAACCATCGTAAAATATCAGTATCCTGCTCATATTTTTTTTTGTATAAGTGAAGAGAACTGGTTACCCTTTTTACTTATAACGAGACACTCTAAAGTCCCCCTATTCTTCAGGGGTTACGACACATTTACATTTTTATTTACAATCGAGGGTAAATGTAGGTGTATACTTAGACCACAGCATCCACTAACTATCAGGTGAACTGTGTGCTGGTGGGGCTAGTGAAAAACTTAAATGCCGACTGGAATCGAAAACAGATTGCTCCTCGGCTATTTATTTATGAACATTATTACATAGTAATAAGGTGTTTATAACGTCGTTTATTGGTATAGATAATCGACCTGTTTGTCACCAGTACGAACTTACTTGGCGTGTTTTGTTTATAATAAATGTTTGTAATGATCCGTGTCACGAACACTTGGGATACACGAACTGTTTTATTGTTATGAGCGATAAAAATATATGTTTAGGTACTCTCATGCAGAAGTATTAATTATTTTACATCATATATACGTCCCACTGCTGGGCACAGGCTTCTTCTCATTTATAAGAGGATTTTAGGGCAAGGAATGTCCGCTGCGCTATCCCATTTGACAGGTGCAGTTATATTATAGTTGTAGCACGAATGGGTCGGCTTGACCCGGGCAGGACCACGCTGTCACGGAATACCAGCGAAAAAGAGCAGCGTCATGCTGCTGTGTTTCGTATGGTGGGTGTAGAGAACCGGAGCCTCCTTTTACTGGAATCGATGCATTCTATTCTAGTCCTCAGTGGTGACAACGCATTTGCATTTTGATCCATCATTGAGGATAAATGTGCATGTCCATGGATCCCAGCATCCACTTACCATCAGGTGGACTGAGTGCTCGTTGTTCACCCAACTAAAGGATATCACTTTACTTTATATAAGGGTACGATCAAAAATTAAAGCACTCTTTTGGCACAACCTACTCGTGCAGGATACAAGTGTGAGTCCTCATGCAATTTATGTACGTAAACCACCTAAATTCGCAATCCGAAAGTCTAAATCTGGACCCAATAGGTGTATGGTGATAATATGGTCAAGTTGTTAATAAATGTTATGAAGTACAGAGGAAATACAGAGTGAAATTTACCGCGTCATCTACCGGAAAAGAAAAAGTATGCCGGGTCCGCAAGTATATATATATATATATATATATATATATATATATATATATATATATATATATATATATATATATATATATATATATATTATATATTTATATATATATATATATATATATATATATATATATATATATATATATATATATGTTTGGAGATAACAACTTCTCTTTAATAGTAACTAGCCGTCGAATAACGTTGAAGTAGCTTATCATCTAACCGCATTCAGGACAATGACAGAGGATGTGCTGTTCCTGTGATATTGATATGCTTATCAGAGCCTGAACCAACAAGTAATTCCTCCTCTTTTTATTCACACCAAGATATAGGCCTCTTTATTGGTATAGAAGACTTTGTCGTTATATTTTTTTATAGAAGAGGATACAAGCGAGCATGCAGCTCACCAGGTGGTAATTCCCTACCGCTGTTCATAAACAACTGCTATACTAAAGGCTGCGTTACATGACTTTAAAAAAAGAATTGTCTTTTTTCTTTTAGGTCCTTAAGTCGTAACAGTCTGGAAAAGTAGCAATTGCTGTACAGAAATTGTGCGAGGAAGAAAACTTCTGGTGTGATAAAAGAAATCAGCCAAAGTTTATATTGTCATGAACTCCGCTCTCGATTTCCTAAGTTAAATAAAATAAAAACTAAAATTAAAAGTTTGCGTGAAATCTTGTTCTGTGATCCTGTACTCCTGGTAGGTGTATGGCTGAACAGGTAGGATAACCGAATAATAGTATTTCGACGTTTGTCTTCGGGCTAACTCCCTTTTCTTTCCATTATAGACAATACAGCATATCGAACTTCCATTTAACTTAAAATACATAGACAGAGGATGAATGGACTTAGCTTGTGTGAGCCCTCAAACCAAATACGCATTTGCGAATAGATTTTAACATAGTTTTAGGGCCATTTCTACATAACAAGCTCAAAAAAACTAAAGAAATATACTGTGAGTTATAAGAAATGTACACTTCTAAGGAAATTTCGGAATAAATTAAATTATGAAGACACAGTTGTTAGAAATTCTAAAATAGTTTGTATTAATTGTTTTAGAATTTCTAACAAGTTATTTTATAAAAGATATTTTTATAGTTTAATTACTTATTTTTGGAGATAATATCCCTGGGAGTGGTGATTGCTACCAAGCTATTTCTAATTTGTCTTGTTAATTGTAAACATGATTGTAAGCTATTATTGGAAAAAAAATAGTCCCGCTGGGTTTCTTGCTGGTTCTTCCCAGGACAGAGGTTTTTTTTGCGAACCAGTGGTAAATGAAAAAAGTGACTTTCAATAAGTATTGTTATAATCTACATTGAAAAAAAAGTTTCTGTTTCTGTATCTGCTGTGTCCTACATTATTTAAACAATAGTGTAAGTTGGTCCGAAACACAGGTACTCAGCCTAGTTCAGGCAGGAAGCTAATATTATAAACATTAAATTTTTAACATTATTAAGGATAGATTAGCACATAGATTTAATTTTATTATAGCATGTTATTTATGCTGGACTTACATAACGCACATACATGAACACTCACGCCTGTCACCCAGAGGGGTAGGCAGAGACTACAGACTTCCATTAGAACGATCCTGCAACACCTCTCTCGCCTCCTTCACATCCATATACCTACGCATACATGCTCATCGGTTAAGGGTACTCCTAATTTGGCCCGTTTTCAATAAATCGCCAATTTGGTCGATAAATTTTCGCCTAGGACGTCCCTTTCCGACTCTGCCATTCACTTCTGCAACATAAATTTCCTTTGTCACTCTTTCCTCATTCATTCTTTCCACATGACCAAACCACCGAAGCATTCCTTTCTTAATCCTAGTCACAACATCATCTTGCTATTCTATTATGCTAGACTTATTGTTACTTTATTTAATTGTAATCATATTTGTGCCTGTATGTAAACATGTGTAATTGGAAATGAAATAAAAATGATTTATTTTTATTATTCATTATTATTATCGATCATCTATTCTACAGTAAAAGAGAAGAGAAGAGAGGTAAGCTGTCTTACCGCCTATCCAAACTCCACTGCTAAATAGATCCTCCATAGATCGCATCATCGGAGGATATTTGCCATGCTTGGTTTTAAAATTTTTTGAGTTATTATTAGGAAGATGCTGCAACTCTCTTATTTCAGTTTTCCTCTGTCGCTTCTTATAACACGCACGAGACAATATAGGGTAGTTGACTTTCTTACATCGCCACTGCACGGAATCTGTACACGCTTTAACTAAATTAACTCGTTTTCTTTTAAACTACTACCCACATTTTTTTATAGGGTAGGGTGACAAACTAGCACACAATTCACCTGATGGTAAGTGGTTGCTGCGGCCCATAGACATCTACATCTATCCTCGATTACGAATCAAAATGCAGATGCGTTCTCACCCGAGAGGACATAGGTGCAATGCCTCGTTTCCAATAAAAAGGGTCTCCGGTTCTCTACACTCACCGTACGAAACACAGCAGCATTAAGCTACTATTTGACGCTGGTATTCTGTCAGAGCGTGGTGCTTCCCCGGTCGAGCCGACTCATTCGTGCTACAACTATACTACTAATATAACTGCAGTATGGCTCTACCACGTATAAATTTCGACAAACAAAGTAACTAACTAAGAAGCAAAACCGTCAATTATAAAGAAATACCACATTTCTTTATAATTGACAGTTTTGCTTTTTATTGCAGTGTTATTGCTGATAACATAATGTAATTTTCTCAGTAATTAGTCTTATCAGGCCATCCCAATATAAACATTCCGCTTAATTCTAATAAACATTTTTTTTCTAACAACATACTTCGCTACAACTGATATCCTTATTGATGTAAATAGTTTTGAATAATGACTAACATGTTATTAAAAATTAACATTTAAATTGAAGTTCCTGTTAATGATAAGGGAGCGATAACGATGTACCAAAAGTACTATTTGTTTTGCTTATAAATTATATAAATATAATCATTATAAAAAAATTATCTATATACTAGCGATCTGCCCCGGCTTCGCACGGATTATATCTGGATACTACAAAAGCGCCACCTACCGGGTCCAGTTATACCTATAACCTTCATGGAAGTGCAAGCAATATGTCGACAAATTTTTACCGCAATCTGACGAACGGTATGGCAGCGCATAAAATACGAACAAACAGAAAAATATATATATATATATATATATATATATATATATATATATATATAAAATCTATAAAATCTTTAATATTTATATAAAATCTGTGACAAAATGGAGACGATTTTTACGCTAAAAGCCCTACTTGTCAATGAAATTATTGAGGAAATCGCGAAAATAAATCAAGAATAGAAACTAAAATTATACGAATAAATTATAAATGAAGTTACAAATACTAATATTTCGTAAAATACGTACGTGTTACTATATCACTAAAATGTTCGTATTGAATATGTAATGTGTTATTTAACTATGGTAAGAATGGAATAGATGCCTATTTTTTATATATTTATATTACAATAGCAGACACTGCATGAAAGAAAACGTAAGGGACTGTTACAATACATAAAACATCAAATTAGCAGCAAAATGACGGACAACAATGGAAGTAATCGTCTAATATTGTATTTTGAAAGATCTGCGACAGAGATAATCGCACTGTTTACTGCATAACCGCTATCCACCATACAGTTCATCCACGTAAGTTAGAAACTCATAGCGATTTTCGTCGGAGATCGCGTTATGACTGAATTAAACCAGGCGTAAGGTTAT